TCACGGACCGCGAGATCGTGACCTGGCTGAAGTCGGACGCTTAACCGACTGCGCCACCCAGGCGCCCCCCCATTTTTTTCTTGAAAGGGAACTTTATAGTACTATTATGTACAGGAAAAGCAACAGCACACACTTAGCCCAATTTGGTGACCAGTTCTTTAGCCTTTGCCTTTTCCAACTTGGCAATGCAACTTGGCAAACCACTGACTTTGGACCCAGGATGTTGCCTCCCCAGTGATGGCGGACCTCATCATATCTGTCATTGTAATTGGTCCTGATGGCTTCCAGCAGTTTAGCCAGAGCTCCTTTGTCTTCTGAGTTAACCTGTGTGAAGGGACAGTGGTGCAGGTCTTCCTGTGGACCAGATGCCCCACCTGGCCTTCCCCTTGATGATACAGTATGGAACTCCCATCTTAGGACACACGGCAGGCAGGAAGACAACCAGCTCAATGGGACCCATATCATGTGCAGTCACTACCAGCTGAGCCATTTTGTTTTCCTCCAAGGGGGTAACAGTATTAGCCCCAGCTTGAGGGACGGGCGGCCTCTTAGTGGGGACATCCCCTATGTTGGCAGCTTTCTTAGCCCAGGCCTACAATCTCTTTCTTCTCTTGCTTTGTCTGGTCTGTATTTGTGGGCCAGCTTAGGTGTTGAATAGCTGTGTCCATCCAAGACCAACGTCCTGGGTGGACTGGTTAATTGTGGGAGGTACTTTTAGACGTTTATAGAGAAGAGCCCTTTGCCGCTGCAACTGGATATAGTTGCAACTGGACAAAGTGGGTGAGGTCCCTTTTGGGCTGGATGTCCTATTTGATGCCAAAGTTCTTGGGCCTTTTCTGAGACTGGGAATTGACCACCTTCTTGGCCTCCTGCTTCTTCATGACAGCAGAGGCCAGAGCCACCTTCTTCCCCTTAGGCTTCTCTCCTTCCAGCATCTTGGATGGCTGGAGGAGAGAGCACCTATGTTCCATTTTAGATAGTAAGTTATATGATTATGCTTCTTACATCCATGAAAGGAGGCTTTCCAGATAGGGCTGTGTCAGTCATGGAAAGGGGCAGGCCTGTGTAACTACCTACTTTGTATGTCTGCATACCTCTTTTCGTCACTGGATCCTCTTACTCTTTTTTTTTTTTTTT